AACCTCAGGAATAAGGGCTTCTGTGGGGATGAGAGATGAATACAGCTGGGCAGCAATTTGCTAAACCCCCTCATCTGGCCTCTCAGCTGTATTTAGTTGTTTCCCCCATTCTTTCACCTTTTAAAACACTGAACTCAGTCTCCAGTAGTTTTCAACAACACATATAAACTGTGTGTCCTATAAATGGTCTTGAACAGTAACTGCAGCATTTGGAATGTGCAGGGGTATTACACAGCCATGTATAATACTTCTTCACAGGGAGGTGGAAAGCACCCAAAAAGACTGCTTCCCAGTTCCAGCTCTCAGTAATGCATATGCATAAACCAACAGGATTTCACCCTCTTCTCTGTGTGGTACTTTTCCATGGGGGAGCCTTTGTAGCTTCTGGATGTAGAAACAGACAAAAATGACACCCCAACTGAGTTATCAAACTAGCCTCTTAATCATTCTTTTCTCTCACTAATGGCCCTGGACTGAGCAAATACAATCTGATCCCAGTGTTCCCGGGTTGCACGGCTCCCATTTCTTCTACAGTAGTTAGTACTGCAGGAGTAGCTGGTAACAGAAGCATGACTACCAGTGCTAGCATCCCACAGCACCTATGTCTACCCTCACTTGTTTCAGATGGAGACACTAGTTTTTATTGTGAGCCGATTTTTTAAAATATCCCCAAATCCAGTGTCACAATGACCCTGTAGAAATACTCTTTTGCACAGGCAAGGGGGCTAATGGGCAACAGCACTTTTCAACCTGAGTTCAGTGTTGAATCTCAAGTAGAGAGAACTAATTCCTTTCAGTTGTTCTTTGACCTCCACACATGGCAATGGCAGGTGTGTGCCCAGTGCACCCCTCCCCCACCACAGATACACACAAACCTCGAGTATAAAATAAACTAAAACCAAAAACCTACCCTTCCCTTTTTTGGCCCCACTAAAGAACAACGCCTAACACTCAGTAGGCATTCAATAAATCATTCTTGAAATTAACATTAAAATGTTTTTAACTATTTTTTTTTTTTTTTGGTTTTTCCGAGACAGGGTTTCTCTGTGGTTTTGGAGCCTGTCCTGGAACTAGCTCTTGTAGACCAGGCTGGTCTCGAACTCACAGAGATCCGCCTGCCTCTAACTCCCGAGTGCTGGGATTAAAGGCGTGCGCCACCACCGCCCGGCCCTTAACTATTTTTAATTATGTGTATATGTGTGGTTGCATGTGTGTGCAGAGGTCAGAGGTGCTGATTCCCTGGAGCTGGAGTTACAGGTGGTTATGAGTCACCTTATATGGATACAGGGACTTGAACCTGGTGGCAGACACCTTTCATTCCAGCATTCAGAAGGCAGAAGCAGGTGGATCTCTGAGTTTGAAGCCAGCCTGGTCTACAGAGTGCGTTCCAGAGCCATATCTCAAAACAAAACAAAAACAACAGCCTAGGTCTTCTGGAACAGTAAGTACACCTAACTGGTGAGGCACCTCTCCAGCCCAGAAATTAACATTTAAAAAACGATACTCATGCCTTTCCAGATCAGAGAAATAAAGCCAGCAGGAGGGGCAAAGGGGACTAGAAGGTAAGAAGTTCTGCAGTGGACCTCACAGTCAGGAAGACAGTACCCATCACTAAGCTGCATGCTTCCAAATGGCAAGGCAGTGGATTTGTGAAGTGTGGTTTTTGCCACATTAACTCAAACCAAATTTGGCTTCATTCTCAGATGCTCTCTCTAATAGATGGGGGGAAACACAACTCAACTCAGTACTAAGATTATTCGATTTGCTTTATAAGGAATAATGGCCTCGGTTAATCCCATCAGCCAAGCTTTAGTGAAACGAGGCTCAAAATAAGGCAAATGTCAAGGTTTAGTCAACGGGTGTAGTGATATTTTAATAAATAAAGCTAGACTGAAGATCAGAAAAGCAAAGCAGTCAACCACTAGAGAGACCTTTTACCTCTACCAAATCTACCTATCAGACCGATAGGGTGAGATCCTGTCTCCATAAATCTTCAGAGTCCACACACCAGTCAGTTCCTGTTTCTTTCCCTTTATATTCCTCTCTCTGCCCAGCCAGATCGCTCCTGTCTCCACCTCCCTAGAGCTGGGATTAAAGGTGTGAGCCACCACCACCTGGACCCGTTTCTGGACTGCCAGCGGGTAGCCTAGGGTGGCCTTGAACTCAGAGATCCCTACTCCTCGGTTACAGTCTCAATCTCCCAAATCCTGGGATTAAAGGTGTGTACCACCACTCCCTGGTCTCTAGGGGCTTAGTGTTGCATTCTGATCTGCAGGCCAGCTTTATTTATTAAATACAAATAAAATATCACCACAAATGAGCTATCTCTGTACCTCACGTCCCTTTTCTGTAACTGTTATCCAGCCATGTAGCAGACCAGCCCTAGAGTATCATTGAACCTACCTGATTCATGAATCATTCTGGGCTCATAAAATGTCATTAAATGTAATTTGTTTAAAGAGTGGTTTTCTTTCTTCCCTTATTATTAGCATATGTGTGAGAAAGAGCTCTACTGTGCACTACAGCTGAGCGTGGAGGTCAGAGAACAACTTCCTTGTGAATGACGGTATTTGGCATTGGTTCAGCTGCAGCGTATTATAGTGGATTAGCTAACTTGGAAAAGCAATCAGAACCTTTCACTAAAAATGGAGGGTATTAATAGTACTGATAAGAACTGAACTGAAAGACCTAGACAGGAGGCTTAACTATTCTGGACTTCTGTATCCTCAATTATCAAAAAACCAAAACAAAAAAAACTAGGAAGGAAGGAATACATTCCATGTGTCTATTTATCGGAGAGAGGGCGTGTTGCGTGGGGGCCTGAAAACAGCTTGTGGGGATCTGGTCTTTGTCCACCGAGTGAGTACAGAGGCTGAACTCAGGGTGACAGGCTTTACAGGGCTTTAACCATCTCACCATACTCTCCTCGCCACCTTGCTTTTTCTTTTCTTTCTTTCTTTCTTTCTTTCTTTTTTTTTTTTTTCGTTTTTGTTTTTTTAGACCAGGTCTCTTATTCTCTTATTTGACTGGAACTTGTGACGAAAGGTGAGGCTGGCTGGCCAGGGAGATCCGAAGTTTCTGAGCATTGGGATTTCAACACACAACTTTTTTTAAAAAACAAACAAAAAAAACCCCATAGGATTGAACTCAGGTCTTTGTGCTTGGAACTTTCCATCTAAGCTACCTCCCCAGTCCCTGGTGTCTCATTTTTTAAGGGCTTGTCATAGGAACATCATATTCTGGTGGGCTAAGGCCAAATATGTGCAGTAATCAGTGCCATGGGACTTACCAAGATTAAACTAATCTAAATTCATCCAAGATTTAGGTTAAGGCCCATCTTAACTCAAAGACTGGAAAGCTTGTTTGGTATGAATCATATATTTTTGCAATATTCAAATATATTTCATTAATGAAATTTCATATTTGCATCCATGTGAAATGGGCAAACAATAACCTGGGTCACCATTCCCTGTCACGAACATTCCTCCATTTACTGATTAACTGTTGTAGTTTTCTGATGGTAACTTCACTTAGTGTTTAATCACCAACCAGAAAATAAAAAGGCAAGATGGTGAGCAATCCAGGAATCTGACACATCCTCTGCTAAACTCTGATGGTTCCAGCCAGGACAGTCCTCCAGCCCAGCCCTCCTGGCTTGTCCCCGTTCCCCAGGACAGTCCTCCAGCCCAGCTCTCCTGGCTCGTCCCCGTTCCCCAGGACAGTCCTCCAGCCCTCCTGGCTCGTCCCCGTTCCCCAGGACAGTCCTCCAGCCCTCCTGGCTAGTCCCCATTCCCCAAATGACTAGAAGCTGAACGCAGGAGGAACTGTCACAAAGCCAGCACCAATGACCACAGTGCAGGCCTCTGTGAGGTGTGTGAACACACATCCAGGCAAAACACCTTCACACACAGATAAAATATAAAAACTTAAAAGAATAAAATCGAAGAGAACAACTGCATCTCTAGAAACACAGCTTTCTGAAGCACTATATTTCCTGATTCAATAGACTTTAAAGAGCATCAGTTTTTGGCAGCAAATAATACAATAATTTGTGTTCAAAACAACAGCTCTCTGTCAACCTGACTCATGACCACTCCACGAACACAGACTATGTGAGTGTGACCCACTCAGCTGGCAACCTAAACCAACATCTACCTCGGGAGACCAGAGTTGAGTAAACCCAATGGGATTTTTTTCCATGATTTTAAAACAGACTTACTTTTCCCATTAAAATTTATCTATTCAAATAACACAGGAAACATACTGTAAGAAAATATTCCCAAGGGATTCAGGCCATTTTCATTTTGACAGTTTTTTCTGAATTGATTCTTACGCTAAATGGCTGCTTATAATTGATCATGTTATCCACTATACGGAGGCAGAAGAGGGGATAGGACCAAGAATCACATGTCTGGGAAGAACCTAGGAGATTAATAGCACAGGTTTGCTTTTATGGCTAAGAAAATAGATCCAAGAATTTAATTAGCCATAAAACCCAATACAAATGATGAATTAAAAATCTGTGTGCTCCCGGACAGAAATCTCAAGGTCCAAATCAGGAGCAGAAGGAGACGGAGCACGAGCAAGGAACTCAGGACCACGAGGGGTGCACCCACACACTAAGACAATGGGGATGTTCTATTGGGATCTCACCATGGCCAGCTGGCCTAGGCCTGAAAAAACATGGGATAAATCCGGACTAGCTGAACATAGCGGACAATGAGGAATACTGAGAATTCAAGAACAATTGCAGTGGGTTTTTGATCCTACTGCACGTACTGGCTTTGTGGGAGCCTAGGCAGGTTGGATGCTCACCTTACGAGACCTGGATAGAGGTGGGCAGTCCTTGGGCTTCCCACAGGTCAGGGAACCCTGATTGCTCTTCGAGCAGATGAGGGAGGGGGAATTGATCGGGGGAGGGGGAGGGAAATGGGAAGCGGTTGTGGGGACGAGGCAGAAATCCTTAATAAATAAATAAATTTAAAAAAAAAAAAATCTGTGTGCTCATTTCGGCAGCACATACACTAAAACTGGAACAACACAGAGATTAGCATGGCCCCTGCACAAGGATCCCATGCAAATTTGTGAAGCGGTCCATATTTTTTTATCCACTTGGCACTTCATCTTAAAGTACTGCCTTGTAAGGGAATTATTAGAGATGCCAGGTAATGTAATGGAAATGAGATTTATTAAAAAAAAAAAAAACCAAACACATTTCTATTGTGTGTGTAATGTGACCATGGGTTTTTCAGGCCATAACAGATATGTGGAGACTGGAAGACAACTTTGTGAGATCTATTTTTGTCTATCTTTACCTGGTGATCAAGGTTAGGTTGCCAGCCTTGCACACCACAGACATTTCCCACTGAGCCACCTCACTGATGTTCACATAAGGTTAGCTGATACACTATACCAATAAACTATGGTCTTCTTCTCAGATTACAAACATGCTGTCATCTAAGGATGGAGGAAAACAAGATAATATGAATAAAAAATCCTATTTGCAAATAAAAAATTAAATTTTGTTATTTTAAGATCACGACTGCCCCAAGAGACATGAACAAGAATGTCCAGGTCTTGTTGTGACGCCTGTTCTTTAAAGGCCGTGGGAAAATACTGGCAACACCGCGATGTCCACCACCAGGAGAGGAATACCAAGAACACACTCTTGGTATTCGAAGAGCGAATACTCTGAGGCACTAACAATGCCACATCTATCAACACGGTGGAATCTAACAAAACATAGCATTAACTGGGAAAAAAACAAGTTGCAGAAATATAGTCAAATTATTACTGGAAATATTTAAAACTGCTAAAAATAAAGTCTGTTTCATTAGCACAGACATCCATCTGTAAAGTAGTACAATTACACTTACATCAATTGATAATTAAAGCATAAAACACCGGGCTGGAGAGATGGTTCAGCAGTTAAGAGCAACAGCTGCTTTTCTAGAGGACCGGGGGTTCAATTCCCAGCATTCATACGGCAGCTAACAACTGTCTATAACATTAGATTCAGGGAAATCCAACTCCCTCTTCTGGCCCCATAGACATTGCACACAAGAGACGCACAGATATTTGTGCTGGCAAAATACCACACATATAAAATTTTTTAAAAAGCTTAAAATATGCATGAAAATAGTTGGTAACAAATTAAATAAAATAATACATAGTAAAATAATTATTATTTCTGGAAAGAAATTAAGGGAGGATTAAATTGAGGATTTACATGGGGATTGATTGCTATATTAACTAATTTTTAAAAAGATTTATTTTTAAATTGTGTGTATGCACATGTGTGGGTGCGCACATGAGGGCAGGTTCTTATGAAGGCCAGAGATGTTGGAGTCCCCTGAGCTGAGGTTAGACCGTGTGTGAACTACATGATATGGGTGCTGGGAATTGACTTCAGATACTCTAAATGAGCAGAGCAGTATGTGCTCTTAACTGTTGAGCCATTTTTCCAGCACTATAATTTCATTACTTTTAAAATCAAGCAATGGGTACGTGGATATGAGTGTTTTATATTAGCAATGATAGGTACTGGATCCCCAGTTGCTGGGTTCCTCTGCCATAGATGAAATAAGCCAAATCAAACCTAACTGATAAATCCAGGTTAAATGAACAGATCAAAGCAACGCCTGGGTGACCCTTGGGAAGGCAGGGTAGTGGCTACCAGGTCTTATATAGCCTGTAGGCATGGTCTTGAGCAGCCCCAGGGAGGGGGGCTGATTTTTGGCAGGCTTTCTCAGGGACAGGATTTGGAATGGGAAGAGTGAGACCAGAGCATGGACTGCCCCTAGCTGGAGATCCCCAACGTCCCAACCTTTCTGGGTATATATGGATGGTGGTAGAGCTTCCACCTAAACAAGCAGTATTTTCATGTACACGTAAGACTTTAAAACTTCTTTTACATGTGTATACATGTGTGTTGCCTGTGAAAGTATGAGCACATGTGTGTGGACATGTGTGCATATGTGTGTGGGTATCTTCAGAGGCTACAAGAGGAAGTCAGATCTCCTGGAACTGCAGTTACAGGCAGTTACAAACAAAAATGCTTTTTGAAAACAAATATTATGGTTGGATGATGCCTCAGTGGGGTGATCAAGCATGAGGACCTTGAGCCCATGCTAAAAATACTAAAACAAAACATCGTGTGAGGCACTCTGTATCCACAACCCCAGCACTGTAGGGTAGTGATACTCCAGGGTGGGCGTGGCCCTTACAGGTCAACCAGCCTAATCAAAACAAGCTCCAGGTTTGTGGAGACATCTGTCTCGAAAAAATAATGTTAAAAGTCACAGAAGAAAACACCTGACATTGACCTCTGAGCCCCCAAAATACATATACATAAAAGGTAAAAAATAAAAATGTAAAGCAAATATTGGTTGCTTGGAAAACAAAAAAGAAGGCAGACATCCATTCACAATACATAGGAAAGCCATCCAAGTTTTAATAATGAAAGGGATTTAAGAAGATCTAGCCGCAGACAAAGCAGGCCCTTCCAGCCTTGTTCAATATAGAGGGCCTGTGAGCCCTATAATGTTACCATGTTGGTAGGTACTCTGTGTGTGTGTGTGAGACTGGATCAGATAAAGGAGTCCTGATTTTCCATTCAATAAGAGAAGGAAGAAGACCCCCATTTCTTCCCCCATGGCTCTGCTAACATCTCTGAGAAGAAAGCATTTTATGGGATACCCAAGGACTCGGGGCTTCAAGGAACTAGAGAGGTGTGATGTGGAGTGTGTGCCCATTCACAGTTCTGCTTATAATACAATTCTCAGAAACCAGTGAGGCAGCTGGAGGCAGCTGGAAAGATGAGTTTCACCAAGACTGGGGAGGGAACACAGAGCACAGCCCAACCCATAGTAGACAGACTTCACAGAATGGGCCACCTTTCATCCTGCAATTTAGAAAGAGTTTAACGCGGAGAAGGAGCAGATAGACTACTCCCAACCATTTCACGCTGAAGTTGAACTAGTTGACAGATGTGAATATACTAAGCACCTCCCCCAAGAAAGGAGAGGCTGCCCTGGGTTAGTGGCGGGGCAAAAGGATACCACTGGCTGAGTGTGGGAAAGACTGCTTTTAGGCTGGCCTTGGGAACTCTCTATGTGGGGCAGCAGGCCAGCCCTCCTGACCTTCAGCATGAGCTGTGACTTGATGTACTCTGTGCTGTGGGTGCTACAGTTCATAACTACATTCAACTTCTCTGTTCTGGAGACTCCTGGAACTTTTATCAGGGGGGCGAGGGTACGGGAGAGGCCTGCTGCCTGAATCATTAAAATTAAAATCATTAAAAACCGAGAGGTCTTCAACTGAATTTTCCCTACCTGTCCTACTGAAGTTTAAGGGCTTGCTGTTGTTACATTAGGCTTTGTCTTAGGTTCTGATCTTTTGGCTGCAGGCACTAGAACCATGGTGGGAAGGTACATTATCTGGATCACTCAGCCTTTCAATAAATGATAGCAAAGCACAATTCCAAGACTACGTTTACTCAAAGCACTGAACATTTTTCTACATCGATTGTCCATTCCCTTTGATGCACTTTAAGAGGCAGAAATTTAACATCATGTTTTTACAAGTGGAAAGAAAAAGATTTACTTCTATTTAAAAGCACAATTGAAAACAGCTGGAACCCCAAGTTGTCTGCATGTGTTATATGGTTTGTCGATTTACATTTCTGAGCTATTTCAGTGGAGAGCTTCCCAAATATTGAAATCTACTTCAGAGAAACCTATATATACTCTCTTAATTACAAAGGTTGATTTTTTTATTTTACATAAATTGGTACACTCAGAGGTCAGTCAGATCCCCCGAAATTGTAGTTCCAGGTGGTTGTGAGCTATCATATGAGTGCTGGGAATCAAATACAGGTTCTCTGGAATAGCAGCAAGTGCTCTTTACTGAGGAACCATCTCTCCAGGCCCCCTGTTTTTGGTTTATGAGTCAAGAGCCTTGCTATTTAGCCTAGGCTGGTCTCAAGCTCAGGATCTTCCAAGCCAGCCTCCTAAGTGGTGGGGCCACAAAGATTTTTACTATTAGCAATTCAGACGCAGCACAGGCTGCTCAGGCCAGTTTCGAAACTCTCTGCCAGCCACATTTTGCCTAGGCTTGTGTGTACTTCTGAACACAGAGAATAATGAAATTTGAGCTGGCTTCTAGGTGATTATTTAAAATCTCTATCTAGTGAAATTGGAAAAAATGAGTCACAGACTTACTTTAAATATTTTTTACAAAGAAAAAAAACTTGGAGAAAATGTATAAAAGTAGAATTATAATTAAGAATGCTACTTAGATTTTAAAAGGGAGGGTTAAGACATTATTCTCTTATAAATAAACATTCTGTTAGTTTTAAATCTATTGTCACCATATAGTCAGAGCCTTCCAGCTTGAAAATTTTAGTCTAATATTTAGGAGGCAAACATTTAGATGAGACTTTAGATAGCCACTGAAAGCTATGCGTATTTGTTAGCTCAGTTAAGTCGATGCAAAGAGAACTGTTAAGGTGAACTAGCAAGGGCTCATAACACAACTTACTATTTACAAGACTTCTGACAGCTGGGCAGTGGTGGCACATGCCTTTAATCCCAGCACTTGGGAGGCAGAGGCAGGCGGATCTCTGAGTTTGAGGCCAGCCTGGTCTACAGAGCTAGTTCCAGGACAGGAACCAAAAGCTACAGGACAACCTTGTCTCAAAAAAACAAGAAAAAAGGACTGCTGACATACTAACAAATGCAGTGGAACCTTTCATGGTTCTTCAGGTCTTCTACTCTATGAATAGGAAGTGGCAAGCTAAGTCCATCTGTGGTAGAAATTAACCCTGACACAAATCACCACTTCCTGCTTTAAAAAGCTGCATTGCTTTGCACTATTTTAGAATTTTCTACTTATATCTCAATTAAATAAGACAGCTGTACCCATTAGATCTGATTGAACTAACAAGAGATGAGAAATCAGGAGTTAGTTCTACAACCTGGGGAAGAATCCTCAATTTTTCTTTAGGCTACAACATACATGACAGAATAAAAGCCCTACGGTGAAGCACAGATTAATTTCTTTGGTGCTGCCTGGGAGAGAATTCTGAGCCTTGGAAATACTAAA